CAGCTATGCTGGGTTTAAGCAGCTCTACTAGCAGCCACATTGGTCAACTGTATAGCATTCAGAGAAACATTGGTTTTTAATACCACACTCTTATTTGGGATTTATTCATGTTTAATTACCCACTCTGTTTGTTTTGGAGAGGAGGTGACCTTTGCAGAAGTTCAGTCTTTTACAGGTTTTAAAGGCTTTTGAAGGTCGTCGTCTCGATCCCCAGCTCATGCAGCAAGACACTTAACCCTGAATTGCTCCCTGAATGCGTATGAATGGGATTAGTTACTTCTGATGGTCTCACTACATAGCAGCCTCTGACATCAGTGTGTGAATGTGTAGGTGTGACCTGCGGTGTAAAAGCGCTTTGAGTAGTCAGAAGACTAGAAAAGCGTTATACAATCTCAAGTCCATTTACCATTTAAGAAAGATACAGCTCCTTTGGTTGTTTATATTGTGCCAAATGTTGGAGTTCAGGAGACGTACTCAAACTGTGCCCCTTAAAATCAGAGTTATTTTTGTAACAAGTGGACAGCTGGTGGCTTGAGATTTTCAGAGTTATGAAACCTGGTCTAATCTTTTTGTTTTAGTGAAGAGAAGTTCTGATAACTACATTTTGATTTAAATAGTCAGTGCCTAAAAAGACCTCGATCATATATCCCTCATGTCTTCTACCTTCGGTCATGTATGCATTTAAAAAGAAAACTAAACTCCATATAACGGTTAGCACTCAAAATCCGTTGCCATGGCTGTAGTGAGTAGATTCAAATCCCCTTATTGTTTGCAATCAAACAGAAAAAAAGTGTTGAGCCCCTCTTTGTCCGTGTTGCTGCCAGAAGCAGCAGGTAGCCAGGATCCTCAGGTTTTTCACACTCATTGACTCCTGCTGAATATCCTCCGCTCAGCCGAGAGCCGGAGCAGCGTCATTCCACCTCTGCTGAGCGGATCTGAAAGTCAGCACTGGTTCACAAAGTTGTGATGTATACTGGCCAATGATGCAAAGTAGATATCTTAAGTGTCAGCTTATGAATAAAAAAAATATATATTTTCTGTTTGAAGGGTTCGAACAGTGCCAGTTTTCTAGACTTCGCTCTTCTCGTTGAGCTTTCTGTTGAAAGCGGATACTCTGTGGCCTCTTGTGTGTATCTCACCCATGTTGCCTGTAAATATTTGAACACACATTACTATGTACACCAGGTGCTCTTTATATACTTTGCAAACTTGATGCTCACTCTTCAGATTTATCCTTTGAATTATTTACTGTATAATATTTGTTCTTTATACTCTGTATTATTTCTGCCCTGCAGTGAAGCAGAATTGTGCCTGAATAAGTGTGTGATTGTGTGTGTGTGTGTGTGATAGTCATGCACACAGCGAGTGAACGGAGAGAGAGAGAGAGAGGGCACGTGATGGCATGCCAGCATGTATGTACTGCATGCATGCAAGAATAATGGTGTTGGAGAGAGAATTTGGACTCATACTGTGGCTTCTTTATTAATTATCAGCTGCATTTCACTGCAGCCAACTGCCTACTGACTAATTTCTTTATCACTGCTCATCTTTATCTTAATATCTTTCAAATTGTATGTGATTTCTGGTAAACCCTGGGAGAATAAATAATAAACTAGACTATAACGGGACTGCTCAATTTGATTTATGCTATAGCCTATACTGTGCCGTGTGCAGCTACAGATTCTGTAGAGTAGAGCTGCACACCAGTGGAGAAAAGGAATCTGGTCTCAGTTTAAACAGTGGAAACTGTTCACATTAAAGTATGGTTTGGGAATATTTTTAAATAGAGAAGAATAATCACTTTTTTTAACTTGCAACTTTATTCCACCAAAGTTTAAAAATGTGTCTATCAATTGATTAATAAACTTGTCCCATGTAACCCGGTACTACTGGAAAAAACTGTATAAATGAAAACTCTGAAATATATTTTTGCCCACTACAAGCACTATATTTTACAAAAGCATATAAGGTCTGGATAGAGTTATGAAACTTAAAAAATGTACTACTATATGGGTTAAAAGGAATATAATGCCTTTGCTACCTAACTTTAATACAGTACAACCCTCTATGGAAGAAGTGAATTAATCTCAACATGATGCAACAGCGGGTATTTACATAAAGTTAGCATGAACAGATTAAGAACTAAGGTCTTTCTGCTGAGTTTCAGGTAACATTTAAACAAGTTAAAACTACTGGGTTATGCAGCTGGGACTATTCAGCATCTTTGTAATGTAGCAATAAGTAAGGTCTTTTACCTGCTTTTTGTAAAGTGTCCCGAGATAACATTTGTTATGAGTTGACGTTATACAAATAAAATTGATTGATTCACAATAAGAAAAATAAATGCTGTGGGAGTTGTGTATATGAAGCCAATGCAGAAGTGGAAAATCCTGCAGTTCTTAAAGTGTCTGCTTGAGGCTGGCTTCAGGAACTCCTGAGGTCAAATACACACCACAGACAAAAAACTAAGTTTTTACAGCATAAATTAACATGTTTACAGACTGGTACAAAAACAATATAGGTCTGATTAGTTGTTGTCATCATGCGCACAGACTGTATGTACAGCGTTTTTTTTAAATGGTTCAGTTTTGATTTTATGAACGATACGTGTTGTCTAGTTAGATAGCTGACATGATTGACAGGTGGGCGCGAAGTTAATGGTTTGTCAAGAGTCTTAAAACCCGCCTCAGCTCTAGCTCTCAGCCTGTCGTTATGTCGACTGAAAGTTAGGCTGAGACAGCATTTCCAGCATGGTGGCTGCTGCCGATGAGCCTCTGGACCTCTGCAGTAACAGATGGCTGACGTCGCTATAAGGCTACGTCTGTTAATATTTAGAATAGAATAGAAATCAGCTTTATTGGCCATGTATGCTTACACACACACACAGAATTTGTCTTCAGTAACTGTGCTCTCAATGTACAAAGAGAGTGCAGTACCATGGCAACCATCCGCGGCGCCATCTTGGTATCAATATATTGTCATTCTATGGTATACTTGTGTCAAAACAAAACAGCAGATGTATTGATCAAACTTCACTGGTCTTTACTGGCATTGAAACAGAGGCAACCATTGGCCGAGGGAACCTTTAAGTTCTTTGAAAATAAGTTCCTGGAACTAATAGTTCTCAGTACTTTTTGTGGAAATGCAGTTTTAATTGATCATTTGTTTGAAAAGATAAAACTGGGGGAAAGTAGAATACCTCAATTGTAGTGAAACTTCACATCTCTGTCAAACACTTACTCTGTGGAGAACAGCTTTAGAAACAGAAGAGTGAAAGTTCTTTGCAACAAATGAGGGATTATGGGAGACACTTGTTCTTGGAACAGCTTGTTCAGTACATTTTTAACTACGGCATTAGATACCTGATTTGCCCTTCACAACAGTTGATAAGATGCCTTATAGTGCCTCTACATTATGAGTGTTTTTGATATATCTACTCTTAATAGGTGAGGTGCAGATAATTTTAGCGGAGTGCATGTGCAGGACTGCAGTGTTGAGTGGAGATCATTTGAATGGCTTTAGATGTTGCCTGCTGCGGTGCCTGGCTGTATCCAAGAGCCAGGTCCAGGAATGTGGAGACCTGTGGTCAGTTGACAAAAGACAGTTGGGATGCCATTATTAGTGCCACCATCCATATATGCTTATTCCAGTTTGCACTTTCAAAACCCCCTTTTGTTTCTCTTATCCTAAAACATCTTTTATGCTGCAGCTCATAAAGCCCTCAGGGGACTTTTAAAGACTCCTGATCTTGAACTCTGAATGTGTTTATGATTTATAGCTATAACATCAATTAAGCTCTATTACTGAAGTTTATATTTGATGGATTTCCCTCATTGACTCATGAAAACTGTGTTTCTTCAATGCTGTCATCAGGAAGGATGATGTCGGAAATTAAAGGCTCTCTCAGACATGAAAGGCTCAGTGTGCTCATGATCAGCCTCACATTTCTATAAATACCCTCAGAAGTGATTTCTGTAATAATCATTTTAAGCTGTCAGAATCAACATTAAGAAAAGGAAGCAGTCATGGCTTTGATACTCTGTTATCAAGTGGCCAAAGTCCCACTCAGTGGCCATTATCCTACAAAGTATTTTGTATTCAAGAGAAGCGGGATCAAAGGCTTTGCGGTCTGGCCCCCAAACACCCCTCCCCCACTTTTAACATACCACCTGGGTAGGTGAGAATGACAGGGGACACCAGATTGATTCTCAAAGCAATAAATTGTGATGTTTTAGCAGAGTCGGTGCAAATCAAAGCAACTCTCAGAAACCTTATCTATCAACCAAAAACTCCTTTATAGATGAGACGTTCTTTTGTCACAGAGAATGAAGCAAATCAAATCTGCTCATTTCATCATGTTGATATGACATTTATGGCTCAAGGGATATTTTAAGCTTGTTTTGTGATACCAAAATAAATAAAGATGAGGAAAAAGGTGTCTATTTGCAATTTCGCATTTCGTAATCAAACACTTCTTAAAAAGATGAAGGTTATAGCTTCCATTATAGTCACTTCTGGTGGTTCACTAAAATCACCCCGCTGCGTACATAAACCCTTTCATCAACAGCTCAGGTGAGGATGGTCACATTTGGGTGTTTCATCATTTTAAAAAGATGTTTTAAGATAATGTTTTTATTCTGGACTTCTCCTGTATAGGAATGGCTATTGTAAGATGCACCAATGGTGAGAAATTCAGAGTAAAACAAAATGACAATCAATCTCAGCCTCCCCAATTGTTACACAGAGAGAAAAAACATTAAAGATTTTTATTTTTTATTTTTTATAAATCGTTATTTCCTCACTCTGTGGTCTGATATTCACCAATAAAGATCAATATTTCTGAGCCAGCAGGCAAATTGGGCTCAGGTATGAGGGACTTCGGTATTGATCGACGTCATAAGATTATAGTGGGCGCGTAATAGTAGCCTCGATATAATGAAGAGAAAGAGAGCTGTAGCACTTTCTCCTCCTCATCCATCACTCGTGCCAGCAGTGTCTCCTCGAGGCTGTGAGGAAGATCTCGTGTATCCGGACCGAAAGAAGCCCCTCCCCGCAGATCATCGCACCAGTCGATGGTCCTTTTTAAACTTCATTGTTGCAGAAGAAGCGACGCCCCGCTTTGCCTCGGCAAAAGGATCAAACACCCCCTCTGATCAGCGCGACCCCCGGTTTTGTTCTCATGGAAATCAGACCCTGCCTCCCGGCCACACTTTCTGCAGAGATGCAAAGTTGAGGCGCATTCCCAGCCGGGACGACAGACGATCACGATGTGTTGGAGGAGCTGATCGCTCATCAGTTTTTTTTCTTTGGGTTTCTTCTCCCGGACCGCACACATTTTCTTCCCGACATGCTGGATTTGGCGAAGCACGTTGTTTTGTGCGCGCTGCTCGGTTGCGTTTACGCGTCGTGTCCCCCGCGCTGTGAGTGCTCGGAGGCGGCTCACACCGTGAAGTGCGTCTCCAGAGACCTGCGGAGTATACCGACCGGGATCCCCGGATACACCAGGAATCTGTTCATAACTGGGAATCAGATCAGTCGTATCGGCCCGGAGTCTTTTAAAGGGCTGGATAATGTGACCAACCTCTCTCTGAGCAATAACAGGTAAGACTCTTGTTGAACCCCTGCCGTAATGCAAAGCATACATCCAATTCTCCCAATACTTTTTATTCCTTTTGGATAAAATGAAATTTCTGGAGTTAAATCATTAATTTCATGACAGATTTCATGATATACCACAGTAAAAGTGGCTCTGCAGGCTTTCTAGCCAATATCCTGTTTAAATGTTGGCAGTGTTGGTTCTTTTTTTCACCTTTCTTGTTCTTGTATGTATTTTTGAAAGCGTGAATGTTATCTCATGAATTTTCTCCAATACAGAATTTCCGAGGTGGAGTCCCACACCTTCACTGGACTCCGCAGCCTCCGCTCTCTGGATTTAAGCAACAACCAGCTGGCAGTCATCCACCCTGAGGCCTTTATCGCGCAGAACCAGTCTCTGCGGGAGCTCAACCTCAGTCGAGCCCTCTACAACCACTCGTCTGTAATGGACTTGGCCAACTCCCTCCGCTGGAGCTCCCTGGGGAACCTGAGGTCACTGGACCTGTCCCACAACAGCCTCATCTTCTTACCTTCGCGGATCTTCTCCCACCTGAGCAGCCTGCAGCGCCTCCAGCTGTCCAACAACTCCCTGGTTGCAATCCACAACTCCACTTTTTCAGGTTTGGAGCGTCTGCAGGAGCTCGACCTGACACTCAATGCCCTGAAGACGGTGCCTGAAGAAGGGCTGCGAGAGCTGGACTCCATTTACCCAGCAACTCTCCTCCTCGGGGAGAACCCGTTCATGTGCAAGTGTGGAATCGAACCTTTTGCTTTGTGGCTCAACAGATCGCAGGAACGCATCAGTGACGCAGAGGACCTTGTGTGCGCCTTCCCAGCCAGCATGAGGAACACATCCATGCTCGCTGTGGGAACACTGACCTTGGGGTGCCACCAGAGGAATGTGGGCGCTGACCTCGCTCTGCAGACCTCTTACGTCTTCCTGGGTATAGTCCTCGGCTTTGTGGGCCTCATCTTCCTCTTTGTACTTTATCTCAACCGCAAGGGCATCAAGAAGAGGATATATGACATGCGTGACGCCTGCAGGGAGGTGTGGGACGGATATCACTATCGCTTCGAGATCGACTCTGGTCCAAGGCTATCACAGGTCTCCACCAACGCCGACATGTGAGAGGACAGTTACGCCCGGTGTGTTTTCTAAAGACTGTTTTTTATGGCATTTATCAGGACCGGATTGTAAAAATTGTACAGGTTTGTTGTAAATACATACAGTGGAGTTAATAATCTGTCTGCCTTGTCAATTAAAGCATGCACTGCCCGTCTTTCTACGTAACACAACTTCAATGCTCTTTTAATTCAGTCTTAATTTAGGTGTTCTGTTGAGTCAAGCAAGTTTATTGGTTGACATTTTTTTCTATATAGTCCATTTAAAAGCATTAAGTGCCTAAAGTCAATTAGGTATTATTTCCTTATTAATGGTGTGATCTGAACATTATTCATTATCTTTGTCAGATCTTCATAAAAAGCTTGTAAAAAAAAAAAAAAAAAGAAGCAACAAAACACTGCAATAAAACCCCTAACACTAAAAAAAAAAAAAAAACAAACCTCTGGGTATTTAAAGCAAAATCGCTCATTCATCTTTAAACCATTTCAAGCCCTTTGGTTCCCCCCCCCCCCCCCGCCCCTTCCCTAGTCCTTCAGCCCCCAGGGTGCCAGAGAGGAATTAAAGCCCCCGAAGCTTTTCCAAAGCTCTCCTAAAGTCACCACTCTCAAAGGAGGAGTCATTTGGCTCTTGGATTTTGAGAGGGGGGGACAGACCAGCGGAACTCTCTTAGCCCCCTCATTTTTCTCTTTTTTTCATGAAGCTTTTCTTTGTTTCAACTCCTTGAATTTTATTGTCAAAATGATGAGAACCAGTCCCGGCTGAGGCCGCCGAAAGCAATCCCTACCCTCCCCTTCCTAAAAGACAACAGCCGCTCTAGAGGCTCTTTGAAGGAAAAGTCTGGCTCTCCATGTTTTTCTGTTTAGTGGGATTTTTTTTCTCTCTCTCCAGTGATAAGATACAGATGATTCCGAAACACCAGCGACATTGTTTCATTCAGCAGTTTGCTCGGACAAGTTAATGGGGAGAAAGAAAGAATGTCTACTTAACCTGTTTTTTGCTTTTAAACTGAGATTGTCTTGGGGGGGAAAAAAAAGGTGACTTTTATGGAGTTATTTTCCTTAAACAAGAATGACATTTCTGTTAAATCAGAGCTGTACATTGAACATGCATGTCTGAAATGAAGCACAATTAAACCTGCATGCATTCCAAACATTAAATGATGATATTTTCTGAAATGTACCATTTCGTCCCAGTTTTTCTTAAATGCTAAATGACATTTCCTGTGGCCTTTTTGATGCTACAAAGTAAGACAAACAGAGACAGAGAGGCAGAGAGGGGGGTGGCAGGCTACCTCCTCAGAGTGTTTATTGCCCAAATTGCCAGCTATCTAGGTATTTGGAACTGTGGGGAACGCTTGCCTGGAGTGAACTCAAACAGCCTCTCATTGTTCGAAGCCAAAGCAGCATCTTCAATCCTATCAAGATGTTCCCCAAACTTCTCTGATAGCAATCCAGAAATGTTTATAGCATGGAGGATCCATTTTACTGCATGTGTAGACAAAATAAAGCTTTTAAAGTCTGTATAGCCATTTGAAGTCAGTGTAGTTTTGCTTGTTATAAAAAAAAAGCAATGAAATATGTATTTGCAGTGTTTGGACTATCATTTCTGTGAGGCGCAGCAGAACCACATTAAGTCGGGGCATTTACTCGCTGAAGAGAAAACAATTGGGAGTTGTAGGCTGACACAAAGAGCGGCTCGGATGAAGAGACGCCTGAAATAAGCTTTGTTTTCCAGCGCAGAGAGATGTCTTGTGATACTCATTGTCTTTCTGTTGTCACAGACGGCCATTATGCTGCGGCGTAATAGGATTCACTCACGATGACAAAGTTGAGCGCTCTGATCCGGCTATTGTTAAAGTGTCATCATTCTTAATAATTGCCTGTGGGAGGAAAATCCCCGGAGAAATTTTCATTTGCTATAACAAAACGTGTCCCAACCGGGGGGGCATTACGCCGGCCACGGGTTATTGGTGTCAGCAGGCAGAGCAGAAAGAAGAACGATGACTCCTTCCATGTCATTACTTCCAACTTCACTCATTAAAGTGTGGATTAAGACCTGTGCCTTTCTTGTCTTTTTATGAGTCTGGCTGTTTGAAAAATATAGGGCTTGTTTGCTATAGACTGTGCGAAGATTGTCTCAGCAGGAATCCAATGAAAAGAGGAAACCATACAATTCATCCAGAAGATCTCCATTACTCCCAATGCAAAGGAGGCTTGTTAAAAACAGAAAAATATCCACGATTACAGAGCTCTGTGTGTTGCACATATCTGATTAAAAGATCACGTCTTCATTTCAGCTTGGCTTGCAATGTCTTGTATTTCATTCAAGTCATTTGTTTCACCACTGAGGTTTCTTTCTTTAAAAAAAACTTTAACAGCTTTTTGTTGCTGTATGTGCAGCATGTGGTTTTTTCCTATTGCAAAATACATGTTGAGAGTCCTTTCAGTTTTGAGAATGTTCCTCTGGAGCACAGCCGGATTTTTATGATATATACGCCTCCTGTCTCCGGGAACATCTTGGCGCCATTACACGGATTTAATGGCTGTGATAGAGAATATGCCTTAAAAGTGAACACCACATCTGCGAGGAATTGAACATGTTAAAGAGAGACCACAACAGTCAGCAGCATGACGACAGAGACAAAGTGGCATCTACCAACCCCCCCCCCCCCCCCCCCCCCCTTACTGCCATGGTATGACAAACACAGCTCAGCGAGGGACACATGTCATCATTTACATTTGCAATCACTAAATACAACACAGTCCTCTGATTCAGTCTGCTTCAAATTTGCCCGCCCACTTTTAAAACCAGACCATGTGCAGAAGAGCGAAACAAAGTCCAGTCTCCTTTATCATTTCCCTTCTGTTTCACAATGTACTTTTTTTTGTGACATTAGAATCCTTTTCTCCCAGTGTCCATGTGTCCTATCCATCATGTCGGACTGGCCTGGCGAGTGAAGGTGGCGACTGAAGCACAGAAGTGGTTCCAGTGGGGTATCACCCATTGTTCTGCTGCTCACTTGATCAATGTGACTAATTGTGTGCCCTTCCTCGCTTGTTTGGATGTAAGCGAAAGAGGAGTTGGTACAGCTGGTCCGACTACCCATTAAAGCCAACCGGCCCCCCATTTATCACCTTCATAAAGGCTGGAGCTGACAAGCACTTAAACACACATAAAGCACACAGTCCATGTACACACACTCATGCCAGAATCAGAGGAAGTCTTTAAAGTAGACAAACTCTCTTCTTTCAATTCAGCAGGCGCTTTTATCCAAAGCAACATAGATCAGAGAGTAAATACTAACCCATTCATACACTGCCACTGACACAGTGGGAGCCATGCAGGGATAAGTGTTGTGCCCATTGCACATTGGACAAGTCATTCAGCTGGGGATTGAACCCTTGACCTTCTGGTTGAGAAGTGACAACTCTACCAACTGAGCCACAGCCACCCTTTCTTAAATATCTGTCTGTCTTAAATTCAATCAGAAATCTGAATCAGTGTTTGTTCATTAATAATAGTTCCTTCATTAGTATTCTTCAGGAGGCAAACATCTTAATTTGATCACTACTGTAGTGCAAAACCTTTTATTTCAGGACACCATATATACGTTGGGTTATAATAGAATTTGGCAAGACAAATGTCTTATACTCATGGAAATTCACAACTGAGTGGTAGGGGGTTGTGACGTTTATATCTTGCAACCTGCTCACAAGTGTCGACTGTATGCACATGACCGGTGCAATCTCTGTACACGTAATGAAACTGCTTCATAATGATTTCAGTTTGCCAGTATGTACTTCTCGTCTTTTGAGTTGATATTATGAATGCGTCAAATTACACTATAGCATTTATATAAAGGCAAAAATGTTCATTATATTGTCACACTGCGTTGCTCCGTCCACTACTCGTTGTCTTGGTAAATGGCAAATTGACTTGAGCTTGTCCCTATTTCTAGTTTTCTGACTATTCAAAGTGCTTTCACACACCTCCTCATTCACACCCGTTCACACATTGACGGTAGAGGCTGCCATGTAAAGTGTCCATCAGAAGTAACTTATCCAATTCATACTCAGTCCATAAGCCGCTGACAAAACTTGTGGTCAAGTGTCATGCCCAAGGACACATTGGACATGTGGCAGCAAGAGCAGAGGATTGAATCTCCGACCTTCCGGTTGAGAGACCGACCGACTCTTAACATGAGCCACAGCCGTTTTGCTTCCTGAGACGCCTCCCTCCTGTCTGGGATAGTCTCCCACTGTGTGGTGCATGTTTGAACTGGCAAAACAGAAGATTTAATTAAATTCTAGAAATTTATAGGAGTGAATAGGCTATTTAAAAATGGCTTATGTGTTTGGTTATTTGCTTTTACAGTGGACACAGGAAAAGATACCATTAATGTTGGCTTACAGCTGACGTGGTAGCCTTACGTCCTGTGTCTGATAGAAATTGAGTTTTGTTTCTACTTTACGAGTAAGAAAGCTGAAGTTGTTAATAAGCCAAACCTTTGCATGGTCACTTCATGCTGAATTCATTAACTGTAAATGGAGATGATTTCTTCCATTTTCTTTCAGTGTTTTAAACAGTCCCAGCTAAGTTGGCTAGCGGGAACAAAACTACTTGGTATGATTAAAAATGAATGGTTTTGGTAAAAATGATACCTTTATGTATTTTAATTTCAAGAGGGAAAGATGGCCAATAGTAAATGGACTTGAGCTTATAAAGCGCCTTTCTAGTCCTCTGACTACTTAAAGCGCTTATACACTGCAGCGCTGTAAGCTGAGATAGTTACACAACTTGACAAAGAGAACACTGTTAACACCCTGTAAACACTCACATCCAGGTAAAGCACTGTGGTTTATGCCAGCTGCCTGTCATTTTCTTAAGCTGGAAGCTAATTAGCTTCTTTTGCTAGCTGTAGGCTATACTTTCTAAGTGGGATACACAAGGAAGATATAAAAGAGCAAATTATCATGCTGTACAGCCATTCAAATTTAAGTCTAGGAAGTAGTTAAATGCTAACGTAAGCTGAAGAACTATCAAAAATAGGCAGACGTCCCACCCATTGTTTTCTATCTGTTGTGTTTTTGTTTTGTTTCTGATTTTTCAGAAAGCATTGAAATGTTAAAAGTCTGTAAGATTGATTTAGCCAAGTCACAATGTGGAAAACAACTGTACCACATTATCCATTTGACAATAGCATTAGAGCTTGTCATCCTTGGTGTAACATCAGAGAAAAATGGCCGCCATGTGACTATGTTGACTGAGTTGAAAACTACAAATCACTTTGCTGAATATGAATTAGACTTGAGAAAAATGAATTGTGATATTATGTTGTAATTTCATAATATATCAGTCCCATTTTGGGTACATTGACCACAGAGTTCGAACAACTTGTACTGTATGTTTTCACATGTCATAAAGGGATTCATTATGCTCTTGAAATTTAAACAAAAATCTCTTGGTGCATAACCGCAATGGATCCCCAGACCCGTAGAGAATGAGAAACAAATGCTCTCAACAAAGGCCTGTCTCGTATGAAAGAAAGGCTCATGTAAAACACTCCACCACAACAATGCAGCTTCCCTCTGAAGTCTTCATGACCGTGTCTCCATTGATCTCAGAATTGACTACAACTGTAAACGGAGCAACGGCACGGCGCTGCCAGGCTTTATGGCCCCTCACCACCCCCACAGCTCCCCCTCCTCTGGGCCTCAGAGTGTCCTGAAGTCTCGTTGTTGGCTCTGCTGTCCTCCAGCTGGCCACAAATCAGTCTCTAGATCCATGTGGCTTGTTAGAAGTTTTGTTTTGTTGTTGCTTTGGTTGTTTACAGGAGGATGAGGTTGGGGAGTTTTTAATTTGAGAAACATATTTCCCTGTGTCCCATTATTCCTTTGTCTCTCAAACGTTGACTGAGCCCCCAAAGCAAAAGGCAACTTAAGCAGTTTTCATATATGCACTGCTCAACTTTTCTAGAAAAGTTGTGGCAGGCCGCCCTGGTATCTTCATGAGTTGATTATTCACACATGCACAATAGAAGGGGAGGCTATCCCTGAAGCATGGCACTTCCAGTTGGGTGGCGTGGGGCCCTCTTGAATGCCATTTATGTGCAAACACAGAAGATTGAGGGCACACTCCCACTGCCCAAGAATATTTGACCCCCAAAGTCCAGTTTGTTTGACTAGTGTGAGTGCTACAACATGCTCATGCACTGCACACTTCCTTGGCCCTGGCATGGTTGGAAGAGGAGGACTTTTGTGTTTTGTGAAAGCCGTATTAATGTTTTTGAGCTGACACTTCTTTGCTTTAACATTCTTGGAAAGAGAACAACACCATGAAGATGAATGATTCAGTCTGACAAATGAAAGAGATATCCTCTGGTCCACACAGAGAAAAAGACAAAGGTTTGTGTTACTGGTTGATTATAAATGGACTTGACCCATTTTAAAAGACAGAACACAACTCCTGCACTACTTCATCATACCTCAGGCATCGATAGGTTGGTTGAAATTGAGCAGAAAGCAAAGCAGAATACAATCGTTTGGTTGAAACAGGACTCATTTGAAGACATTCACTTGGGATCCTATCCTCCTTTATTCGACCCTCAATGGTTCACATACAATGGCTTAATTTACTGTACCAGATACAAGATGTATTAAACCTGCAGTAATCAATACTTTTATATAAACAATGGGAAGAATTGCCAGGGATGAACCTTAAGAGAAATACCTCACTGTACTTTCCTTGAGTTATACAGAGCACTTTAAGTTTCTTTTAACTAATTCTGGGGGTTTTCTGACCCACAAATGAACTGTTTTGATCAACCCTCATTAGCTCATTCATGCTGATTATAACAGAAGGGAGCTGTTAACAACAAAACAGATGCTAATGTTGTGGCCAGCTGACGTGTCAGTTAAGACTTTACCCTGATTTTTTCCTGCCAGCCCATAGAAAAATGTCCCCTTGATGTCAGGTTGAGCTGATGTGTGAACACAGCAGGTAATAATCAAGAAAATTTACAGCCGGCGAGTGGGCGAGGATGACGTTAGTAATAATATATAAAACCAAAGAAAGGCTGGAAACCAGTGCTATCTTCATGCATGTGTGAAAATAACAAATGTGTACTGACTTTCAGTTTTACCTCCAGAAAACTGGTTTAGACGTCTTAATTGTTATGAAGGAGATATGTTACCAGGTTCAAGCAGTTGCTGAGAAATGATGACCATGAGAACATGAGCAAAGTTGCCCTGAAATAATCCTTCAGAAGAACATTAAAGGGGCGAGCCTCTCCGATGATGAAGCAGCTCGTGGAATGTGTTTAGTGTGAACTCTCTGTAGGTAGTTTGACCTCTCGCCTTCCTGGAGGGAGGAGACTTGAGCTCATTATTATTAGCTTCATTATTTCAAAATGCTGGACCAGATGCCGGAGCGGGAGGGGGCCCAGGGCACCCAACAGGGCCCCGAGGCACCCGATTGGTCAGAAGGAGAAGAACTGTTTGGAGGCCAAAGGCTAGATTCTTCCGGAGAGGAGACACCATCTGCTTACTGTCTCTCACTGACTTGACATCATCTTGCAACATTTAGGACTTTGAGCAGAACATAGTCACTCTGGATGAGGAGGTTATGAAGTTATAAAAATCCACCAGTGCTGCTTACACAGCTTGAATCAGAAAATATGGAAAATCTCTTATCTTTAATAAGAAAGACAAAATAATAAGCAAAATATAATTAGCTTTTGTGTCTGAAACTCTAAAAAATCATCATCTAAGTAGTATTTTCTGGCAAAAAAAAACATGCCATTCCTTTTATACACATACATAGCACAGACTGTTTTTTTTTTTTCTCAAGGCAAAGGGTAAACAAAGACACTCAAATAGAGCTACAAGGAGAATGAATATTCAATGTTTTACTCAGTGTACTCAATCCAAGGTTTGTAGCGCTGCACTATATGTCACACAGGTTTTTTAAAGGCATCCCCCCTCCCACCCCCAACTGTTTGGATGCTCTTCAGGTGCAGCCCCCTCACCCCTGACATATCTCCATTAGTGCACATCCACAGGGTCATACTTGTGAATGTGTGTGTATGTTGACCTATGTGTGTGGCATGTCTCAACAACATAGGGGGAAAAAAAATTCCCTAGGGATGAATAAAGTATAAAAAAGAAATGTATTTTTTATATCATACATCATAAAGTGTGAAAATGTGCTTAACACAATTTGATAAAGTTTGAATTAATTCCTTCCAAAATTAATTTCAAGAATGATTTTTTACCAAGACTTCTAGAAATACTTTCATGCCCAGTACTCTACCTGAGGTAGCAGCATTTTGTTGGGTCTCATTCAGGCACTGGGCTCCACGTCCTGCATCACTCTGCCCATGAATCCTGTTGTTTTTGACCCCTCATCCATCATCACTTTTTAATGGTTCTACACGTATACAGATATAAATCTATCTCAGCTTATAAGCACTCGAGAACTTTATAATCTAAATACAGATGGGGGGCTTCACCAATGAGTGGCTCTTCTACTTGTGCACAGGTCAAGGTCGTGTTCTGAGCAGTCCTATTTATTTCTTCCTTAGCAGAAAAAAAAATGCACCTATGTGACATGACTCAAGCTTAATTTGAATTAAAATGAGATCAACTAAGAAAAACTACTTTCATCAAATAATCTTGTTTCATTTCTTTTGAATGCCCCTCTTTCATGTGTTGTTTTGCCTGCCTCCTATTATGTTGTGTCATCAGGAATGTTGGACCTCCTTTTTCACATCTTGCTCATATGAATGTTGATAAGAGTAATGGAAAGAATTTAGAAAGCAGGAAGCTGTTCCTGAAGAAAATTCCTTTTGCGCCATTTCCTTTGACAGGAAATTGTGTCTTTGATCTAAGCCACCACACTCATCTGGTCATTGCATGCGAGGTGTCACTTCTGTCCTATGACGGAGGGGAGGAGATGTGCTATCCCCTGCTCTGGCCCTAACACTTAAGTGCTTAAAAGATGAAAAATAAGAATGTGGATTATCATAAATCTGGGTTTAAGAAGTGTACCCCAAAGCGGCAGTTTTACTGTACTGGGGAAGTAGGACAGGGTGACACACTCATTTGTCGTCCTGCTTACTCTGGCAGCAGGGGAGTGTCATTAATGAGCACTAAGGCCCAAACACAGTCGCGAATGAAGATTCACACCTGTCAAGATACCAGGGAGTGTGTTCTCGCTGTGTTTGTGTGTGTGTGTGTTTGTATGTGTGTGCGTGCATGTGTGTATGTGTCACCTACACTGTCAGTGCATTGGTCATTTTCATGTGGAGCGTCCCACATGGTCACAGGAAGCTGATTATTATCACACTCATATGCATTTCCTACAGTTGCATCTGTGGTTACAACAGTTCAAATGAAAGGGAAATGTTTAATGTAGGGTTTTCTGTATTTGTACAGCGGTGTGTAATTTATTTTCTGCAAACAGAAGGCGGAAGCTGGCTGATCTTGAAATGCTGTTTGTCATAGTTAGGGTCGACTGCCTCATTACTGCAGAGTGCCGCCCGGGTCTATTCAGCATCAGGGGGTACAGGAGGCATCATTAATAATCCTAACAAGACCATCAAGAGTAACATGATCTTTTTCAAGGGCAAGAGTGGTGCTATGTGTAGTGAAAAAAAGGCTTCTTTCCTATTAGCACAGTAAAGCTTTTAATCCAAAGTCCTTTCTGGATTCAAGACCAGCAGAAAAGAGAAAGAAGAAAACCAGCAGAGTTGTTCTGACTTCACACCTGTAGACAATCAGCTCATTAAGAAGTGATTGGAAGCAGGCTGTATTTAATGCTACCTCCAGCCTACAGCACACGCATACACACACATCCAGAGCAAGTATCTTTGGTGCAGTTGGGTTGTTGGTGTGCTGGTTCTTGGACATACAGAATGGTTTGTGGAGTTAATTTGAGGTAAGTTTTTGCTGCTACACTGAGTGTTATGAGTTGTTGTTCCATTTCTTCTACCCTTTAATGTGTGTGTGTATTGTCTTGCCAGGATCTTGCTGATTTGCTTAGTTCATGCAGAGCATATATGCTGTTTATGGGCTACACAAGGTGAGCAGAACACACTATTTCACTAGAATTTAGCATTGTGAGCAATGCAAGCTGTATATTCTGCTATGAGAAAACTAGACTCAAGTTTTGTAAATTGGCAATGCAAAAAATAACTTATTTACAGAAGCCCCTAGCCCACAATTCTTTTGTTTAGCTTTATTACTTAACTCTTCACTTATTTATCTCAGACTATGCCTGTTTTCTTATGCGTTCACTTCCTGATAACACAGGAGAACTAGTGTCATCCTGAGACAAATGGGTGGCGATCTTGAGAGCCAAAATAAATGTATTCATTGCCAGAGGAAGCAAGTTAAATGTTGCAGAACTTCAACATGCGTGATAATATCTGTAGTCTATGGTTTGGTTATGTTTAAATTGGCTCTTGCCTCTGACAAGTATCCCATACTATAAAAATTAAAAAGCTAAAATCAGGCCACCTGTTTTGTTAATTGGTTGAGCAGGTGCTCAATGATGTATAATGGCAAAAACTGTACCCTTGATATTCATCCTGCCTTTTCCTTTTTTTTGCAGCTCAAAGCTTCCAGAGACAAAACGGCAATGGATATGTTGGCTACTCGCAACAGGAAAGTGGAGTAAGACGACTTGGTGGCAGCAATCCCCAGAATCAACTCAGACAGGCCTCTGTTTCTCCAGGGTCAGCCCAAACAAGTAGCATCAACACCCAGGCTGCAGTTCACAGTGTTTATAGCGAGGAACCGTCCAGTAGCGGCTTCTCTCAAACTTTGTCGAAGCCGGCTCAAGGTGGCCACTCTTCGGTCAGGTTTGTGCAGCGCAACTCTGTGTCAAAACCTAACTGGCAAACTCTGAATCAAAAGGTGCATGAGCCTAAAAAGAGTGTATTTGGCCTTTCAACTGCTATTGCTAGTGGGAGTTCTGTGAGTAAGTACAGTGAAAAACCGAGTGCCCTTACTGATACCAGCAGGAATATGGCTCGGCCAGTTCAGCAGGCAGCACAGAGTGCAAGCAAGTACCTGTCCAGCAGCTCTGCATCTCTTCAGCGTCCTTCTAGCAAAAGCCCCTCCCAATTGGCCTCCTACCAGTCACTCCCACAGAACGCTCCCATCTCTGGAGCTGGAACATCCTATGTGCAAGGACGCTATGCTGCTGCTCAGCTGTCTTCCAGCCTGTTTAACCCTGCATGGCAAGGAACGGCTGTGCAGACCTCAGCCACCGCCCCTGCAAAAAGAGTGTCTCTACATCGTACGAGTAAAACATCATATCCCTCATCTACTTTGAATAACTATTTTCCGAGCCAGATTGAAGGTGCGAACTCCTACCAACATGCCCAAGGACGCTACAGTCCTTCTTCACTGTCTAGTAAACAAAATGCTGCTGGCTTCCAGCCTCGCAGTGTGCAGATGCCCAACAATCAGGGGTTCAGTTACACTGCCACTGAGCAGAACAGCATGAGTCCAGTCCAAGGAGTTCGTAACCCTGCTGCCTCTGGGCGCAGTGCCGGTCAGCGCTACGCCCCCACCAGAACCCACAACATCCCTGAACACTTTGGCGGCTCTGTTATCAGACGGCTGACTGGTCCTGAAGGGAGTGTCAGGAATCCCCAGCAGACCTACTTGGCTCCTTCAGCACAGACTGTGAACTACAACCCTCAGGTCCAGAGCATCAGGAATCCCCAGCAGACCTACTCGGCTCCTTCAGCACAGACTGTGAACTACAACCCTCAGGTCCAGAGCATCAGGAATCCCCAGCAGACCTACTCGGCTCCTTCAGCACAGACTGTGAACTACAACCCTCAGGTCCAGAGCATCAGGAATCCCCAGCAGACCTACTCGGCTCCTTCAGCACAGACTGTGAACTACAACCCTCAGGTCCAGAGCATCAGGAATCCCCAGCAGACCTACTCGGCTCCTTCAGCACAGACTGTGAACTACAACCCTCAGGTCCAGAGCATCAGGAAGCCCCAGCAGACCTACTCGGCTCCTTCAGCACAGACTGTGAACTACAACCCTCAGCAGACCTACTCGGCTCCTCCAGCACAGACTGTGAACTACAAACCTCAGGTCCAGAGCATCAGGAATCCCCAGCAGACCTACTCGGCTCCTTCAGCACAGACTGTGAACTACAAACCTCAGGTCCAGAGCATCAGGAATCCCCAGCAGACCTACTCGGCTCCTTCAGCACAGACTGTGAACTACAACCCTCAGGTCCAGAGCATCAGGAAGCCCCAGCAGACCTACTCGGCTCCTTCAGCACAGACTGTGAACTACAACCCTCAGGTCCAGAGCATCAGGAAGCCCCAGCAGACCTACTCGGCTCCTTCAGCACAGACTGTGAACTACAAACCTCAGGTCCAGAGTCTTGTGAAGCAAGAGCAAACTTACACGGCACCATCGGTACAGTCTGTTTCTTACATGCCTAAGCAATCCCTCTCGGGTCCCTCAGGGCATACTGTATTGAGGAAGCCAGACCAAAAATACACAGCTTCATCGGCACCCAAGCCTCAAGACCCAAAACAGGCCCATGCAGCTCCTTCAGCACAGCTTGTATCTTATAAACCACTGCGGCCCCGCCAGCGGCGAGCGTTTCATACAAACCACAGGTCCAGAGTGTTCAAGAGGAGTCCAAATGGTAGAGGCTGTGACCATAGCAGGTGAGTACTCGTGTACCAGCAGTTTAACTTTGTGACTGGAGCTGAGCTTTTTTCTTTCTCATTGTTCTACTAGGCACTGCTGAGATGACGATCCCTGGATGAAGATTTAATTTTTTGAAAATAAAAAATTAATTTAAATCATGTCTTTTGTGGTTCTGGTAACTGTTGAAGTGTATCTATTTTGTTTTGCTGCCATCTAGTGGGTATGAGATGTGTTGCACTGGACCAGATTCAAATTTGGTTTGTGCAAGACCATTGACCTAAATATGTACTTCACACTTAAATTGTTGCAGAACAGTCTCTGCATATTGCTGCTCTGTTATTGCCTAACTAAATACTAGTATGTTTAAGAGGAATATCTGACCACAACTTTTAGTCAAATTGGGAGATCATTCTTAACTGAACACCTAGCCATGTGGAACATGATGTTTTTCTTTATTCAGGACTGAATATTTTCAAACTGAAAATGCAGTAATAAGGCTTCTTTCAATTCTGTCACTGAATCAAACTTGAGTGTGAGGTCTTAATGCTACACAAAACAAATAAACTACATTTTGGTGTAGTTCACACTCTCTAAAACTTCATGAACTGTGATACAGTTTGAGATTTGAAAGAACTTCTGGAATTTTCAATCTGCAAGTTAACAAAATTTCCATTATACACTCCTGTTAAAGGATTTTTATACTGCATCAGGGTGCCTTGGGCTTAAAGTTTAGACTGCCTTTCCACACTACAAACTTTAATCAGAACAGTCATCTCTTCACTACTTGACTTCTGTCCCCTGTTACTGAAGAGCACCTGATCTCAATCAATTTTTTTTGACAGTGCAGCACTCACCTTAAAGTGTTTAATAGAAAGCATATGTAAGTACACTAATGATAAATTACACAAGCTGACCTAAAAGAAAAAGCACATGCGCAACAACATCTGGTTAGGTTTCTGTGATGGATTGAGTATCAAAGATCTCACA